CCCTACAGGCTTTCATTCTCCAAGTTAACTATTCTCAGGTATTCAGTGGCTCTTACTAACCAGAGTAAGGAAAAATTTAAGCAAGTGTCTTTTCAATGTTTCTAATAAAATGAACCCAAAACCCATATAGGAATAAAAACAGCTACCATTTATGAGTATCGACTATGTGCTGGCACTGTGCGGAATATACTGCATGCCTTGCCTCATTAAATTCTCACAACCACTCATTTTACAGATGAATCCACGAAGGCTTAGAGAGGAGAAGAAACTTGCTCCAGATCACCACGACAAGCTTAGCAACTTGCCCAAGGCCAATGTGAGGACTCAAACACACGTGTTGCCCTATTAACCAGGACTCAGTTTTCAGGTCGCACTTCCAATCCCACTAACCCAGGGCAGCTTGCCCCAACGCCCCCCAGCAAAATCAGTTCCTCTCGTTGTATTTCCCTTGCACCATCATCTTTTCTGTGGTTCTGATCACAGTGATATTTTTACCCTGATTCATGTAAATATTAAATTAATGTCTGTCTCTCCACCGAACTGTAAGCTCAGGGATGGCAAAGCTCCTCACTGTTCTTGTTTACTTAAAATCTCTGGCCTCTATCATACCAGCAGGCATGTAATGGGTTCTCCACATACATTTACACTGACTGAATGAAGAAATGGGGGAAAAACAGTGCTCAGAAATCACCCAGCTGCTTGGGCACTGCACGAATAGACAGCCTAGTGCTCCTCTGCATGTAGGCACCACAATGCCAGCTGCCCAGGCTGAGGGGCAAGAGAATACTGAGCAAAGGTCTTCAGACCTGGAAGAAGCTCTAAAGTATAAAATCTTGTAGCAGTGAGAGAGAACAGCGTCTCCCATTTGCAGGAGAGCAGTATGAGGCATGGACATTTCATCAACCCAATTAATACATTTAAATCACTTTCCTGATTCATTTCGGTTGACTCTTTCCTCTATATATAGCTTAATTCTGTTTTGATCATTTTTCCTGCTATTTTTATCTGCTTTCTTGTCCTCAGATATCTTTTTTCTTAAAATACTTTAAGCAGAATCACATGCCATTCACAAGCTATGTTCTTAACACTCAACTATGAAACTGAAAGCAACTGGAAATCGAGAAAAGTATATGCCCAACAAAAAATAGTTAATAAATCTCAGCACTTCTTCACAAGTCACTGTCGCAAGGAAAGTACAAAGAGTTGATAGAAATATATTTTAAGCAAGTCATATAGCACCCATCCTATATTATACGTATTCTTAATATAAAAATATTAAACTAGTAGAAGCATTGTCTTCACAAGAGTAGACTATACTTTAAGAACATATCCATAGAAAGCTAGTCAAGTCTGAGACAAAAAAGGAATAACTTTTTTTTTTAAAGAAAATTACATTTGCTACCTGTCAAAAATCAGGTTCTCGAGACCTCAGGATTTGATTATCAGTCTGACGACAGCTTCGATCTTACAATACTTTTTCTTTTTATGCCACAAGTGAACAATGAACTTTGAGAGAGAAGGTGGAGACAAGCAAGACGTGGGGTTTTGTTACGTGACTGTTCAGGGGAAAGGGGAAAAAAACAAATTTGGCCACACTGGTTTGGCAGAGCCCCAAATTACGTAAGGCCTAAACTACTTAACTCTTTTTAACATGCAGTCTTTACAAATACATAATTCCTCTGAATAGTCTTTTCAGAGAGTCACAAACATAGCAGGTCCTCCCAGGCTGACAAGGCACTCGGGAAAATCCCAGTTAACCAAGAAGAGTGCTTCCGGAGCATGAAACAATAGCTTTGGGAAGGAAAGAATTCAGTTTATGGGTTAAAACAAGGTCAAGTATGTACTTGATGAGTAAATTCTAGAGATCTGCTGTACAGCAGTATAGTTATCATTAACAGGACTGTATTGTACACTTACGAAGTTGTTAAGAGGGTAGATCTCATGTTAAGTGTTCTTACTACAACAAAATAAAATTTTTAAATAGTCATTTAAATTTTTAAACTATCTGCTAAGTGGTTTTTGAGTTAGCCCTATAGGAAGAACTAAGAGAGAAACACTCTAGGATCCCCTAAAATGCTGCAAACATAGACGCTTCTTCATGCCTCTTCTACACACATACACACATGGTCCTGAGTGATGTGGCACAGTGTATTAATGAAGAAAATGAGGTTCTGTTCTCAAGTCAGCCATCACCTGAGGGTAGAGCTTCACCAAGTGTCTGTTTCTTCAGCTATAAAATGGCAAAAAGAGAGGAAGAAGCATTAAGCTACAATCGTGATCTCAAGGGCCCTGCAAGAGTCTAACGTGAAAGTTTTAAGAATCACGTGTGGCCTACACTTTGAATGAAGTAAATCCATAGCCAGCCCTACACGTGACCACCGGCATCCTGAGTTTCCTCAGAATGTAATATTAAGCAACTCAAACTGCTTCATCACAATGGTCCTACGTCTCCAGTCACTCCTCCTGGCTACTATAATAGCAGTGACCAAAGCTTCAGTCATTTGCTGCAAAAGCTGAATTCCTCCCTCACTTCCTGTGCACAGGACTGAGAAGCAGCCCTAGGTGGCACGCTCACCTGTCGGGACAGCCTCATGCTGAGAAAGACCAGGCACACGTGCAAGCACCACCCAGAGCCCTGGCAGAGGAAAGAGGAACCCCACTGTGTGAGGAAGGGAAAGGAAAAGCAAAAGGCTCTCAGATGTCTCCCTGCCCACTACCCAGAACCAAGGAGACCATGAGCCCAGGCCACAGGGAGACCTTTGTCCTGGTAAACTAAAGGTCGCCATTTAAAATCACAACTTGGCCCTGTCACAGACATTACCATGTTCCCGTAAGCTGTCGTTATATTTGCTTTTGTTCCTTGTTTGTTGTCTGTCCCCACAAAAGCAGGGCAGGCGCTGTGTCTGTTTTATCACTAGTTTTTACTGGTTGCTTGGCGCAGCACCTGCCTTTATGTAGGTACTCCATGAATATGTAATGGATGAATGGATGGATGGATGGATACACGAATGAATGACACCCTATTCACAATAACCCTCTGAGGTGGACAAAGTATTATGGTCTCCGTTTCTCACAGAGAAAAGACACTTAATGGAGATGATGACTTGCCCAAGGACAAACAGGCCAGGGCATTTCCTCATATGACCATAACAAACCCACTCATTATCACCTACCTGTCCCTTTGTACAATTTCACTCATTAGATAATGCAGCAGAGAAGAGGCCTTGAAAGACTGACACCACCATCTAAGTTTTTAGGGGGTAAAAGCAGAAGCAAGAGGAGGAGCAGAGGGAAAACACACAGGGAAGAGGCAGCTGGTCTGGGAAACCCCGATTCCCATTACTGCTGGAAGCGCCCACCCTCAGGATCACTGCCTCTGAGAACCCTGAAGGTCCTGCTGGCTCATCTGCTCAAGAACCAGCTCTACGTGCAGGCAAGCCATAGGTCACAAAAGGCCAAGGCCCGGAGGGAGTTGGCTTCTGAAGGACAGCAGGGATAGTCCGACCATCGGCCCATGGGGACCTGCCAGAGCCACATCGTTGGGGTTTCTGCCTCTCATTCTGCGGGGACACAGAAGAGGCAGAAAACTGGCTCTGGAGTAGCAGGTCGTTACGAGTGTCCACACATGACAGCCAGCTACAGACCCCGGCGTTCTCTCTCTAGAGACACTGAGGCCCAGGAACCTAACACTGCTAAGGTAGACCCTGAATCCAAACCCGCCTGCAGAGTGGCACGGGGAGCAGAGGGGGGAATGGGGAGTGATCAACTAGGTTAGAAGTGAGGCTGCTCGGGGTGAAGAGATCAAGATGCCAAGGTGAGTGGGAAGAAGATTCTGGAGCCAGGGCTCAGAAGCTAAACCCACCTCCCCACTTAAAGAAACCTGATCAGCGCCCTTACTGTACTGGTCGCCGTCCTACCTGCTGAATCCTCAAGATCACTAAGTGAGCATGATCAGTCCAGCTTCCAAGGCCACCATTACCTGGCTCCATGCTCCTAAACGGCCAAGATTCAAGCCCACAGTCGTCAGCAGAACCCTTCTCATAATGCAAGTGACCGCCGCCTCCTCCCAAGCCTTCCCTGATCCCCTCCTGGACAGCTCCTTGCAAATCTCCAAGTCCCTTTTCACATTTGCTCAGCATGATGACCGGCTAGGTTCATGCTGTCTCTCCTCCTAGGTCAGAAAGCCCGTGAAGGAAAGGTTTGGGGTTAGTTCGACATCATCTTCATGTTAGTTTCCTATCGCTGCCATCACAAATTGCCATCAACTTAGTGGCTTAAAACAACACCAAGTTACTCTCTTACGGTTTTGTAGCTCAGAAATCCAACACACATTTCTCCAGGCTAAAATCTAGGCATCTGCATGCAAGGCTCTGTTCCTTCTGGAGGCTCCAGGGAAGAAATTTGTTTCCTTGCCTTTTCTAGCTTCTAGAGGCTGCCGCCATTCCTTGGCTCATGGAATGTGCCAATCTCTTTCTCCATTTTCAAAGCCAACAACATAATCACCTCTCTGCCCTGCTTCCATGGTCATGTCTCCCTCTGACCATAGCCAGAAAATGTTTCCCACTTTTAAGGATCCATGTGATTAGATTGGGCCCAGCTGGGCAACCCAGGAGTATCTCCCCATTTCAAGGCCCTTAACAACATCTGCAAAGTCCCTTTGCCATGTAAGAAAACATATCCACAGGTCCTGGAGATTAGGACGTGGACACGTGTGGGGGCCATTATTCCACTTGCCACCACCTTTGTATATAAACCTTGAACACAGTGGTCACTCAACAAGTATGGAACTGAATCCCCATCAGTTCAGCTGCATCAGCTCCTGAATGTTTAATTAAATTGTCCTTCTTCCACTGGCCTCTGATCATCATGTTCTTCAGTACTGTGTCCCCAAACTGACCAAGAGCTCTTTAGGCTGTCTCCCCTTTTAATAGCCTCAAATTGTGACAGTGTTAGGACATAGTGGACACATAAAGATGTCTAATAATCTGGGAATCAAACAAAATGCTACCTCAAATACTGTTTTATTTTCTATTTTTGTTTTATATTTTACTTTTGTTCGTTTTTAAATTTTAACAC